TAAAAAAGGCCACGCAGTAAATGTTAGTATATTTCCCTCTTTTACCAGGAATTGTAAAATACTGTAACTAGAGAAGGTCCCCACAATTACCGCGGTGCACGTCCACGTCATAGAATAAAAAACATGTTTCTTTATGTGGGTTCCTCTATTTTGTTTCGCGCACGATGCGAGATAACGTATTCTCATCTCCCCGCTTATTTCCCACTGATGTTATTTGATATAATCAAAAAAAATTTTTAAGGAAATTATTCATCCAAAAATTACTGGCATATATACGCATCTCTCGCACGAGTATCATTTTGAGGGGAATTACTCGAAAAATTCATTTAAGCGAGTCAGAAGATAACTTGCCCAACCAAATTAAAAAATATTCAAATTTTTTCAGTCAAATTACATAATAAAATGTAATTTAAATATTAAAATTATAAAAATATTATTAGTATTGCAATACAATTCGATATAAAATCATTTTTTATTAAAAATAAATAATAAAAAATAAAATAAAAATTTAAGATTAAAACTTATAACTAATAAGATAATACAAGTTATATTACTTAAAATATTAAAAAATAATTTTATTTTATTTAATAATTAATTTTTTTATTTTTTTAAATATATAATATTATATATCAATTAATTTAATAATATTATATATACTATATCATTAATTTTAAATTACCAATGATTTATTGATCTGAATAAAAGAAATTTGATTTTCTTTAAATAAAGTTTTGAATTCGAATATTGTGAATGGAGAAACAAATATTGCGAAAGTTTTTTTTTAATGAGATCTAATTCAATTTGATTTTAAATTAATCAAATTTAATATAATTATTAAATATCAAAAGGTTAATAAAAAAAAACTCTTAAATTTTTATTTCAAACTTTTGTCCTACCTATCATCGTTCAAAAAAAATTCATTTCCTACTATTTTGAATATAACGTTTTGATTAGCAATAAAAATTTAAATTATTAATTTAAAATTTTTTCTAGATAAAATAATAAAAATGCCCTTTGTTTATGTGGAGTTCTTCGTTAGAAGAAGGGTAGCATTGTAAGTCCTGGAAAGGACATGGGATTATGGGGTTACACTGTCTCGGCATGGATTCTGTAGACACGTCGTTGTTACGTTGAAAAAGGCTGAATCCATTAGAGTTAAAACTTAAAAATAAAAAAATTGAACGGTCCAGATTTGGAGTTTCAAAGGGAAAGATCTATACCGTCTGATCCACATCCTTGTTCGTAAGCAACCGTAGAGCTTGTCACGCTTAATAAAACCATTTTTATAAACGAAAAAAAAGTTTGTCTAAACCCGTGTGCTGTTAGTGGCTATGATCGGAGGTAATAAATGTATTCTTTTGTTTTTTTCTTTTTTATAAATTATATAATAAAAAGTAATGATTTTATAAGTTTTTTTAATTTATATT